AAAAAATGGTCTCTACAAAAATGGAGAACAAAATGAAAACGCTCAAACAGTGAGGATCAAAACTTTCATAAGAGCACATAGAGAGCATAGACCTGACTGTGGCAAAAGACAAGAGCAAGGATCTGACCATGGCAATAGACAAAAACGAACTGACAGAGAACACTGGGGGGAACAGGGGCATTTAAACACAAGACAATCAGACACAGGTGGGAACAATCAGGGGCGGGGCTGACGCTGATGAGCACAGGAGACACAGAAGGGGTGACAGGTGAACACAATCAGGGCCGGGGCTGGTGTTGATGAGTCTGGAATGACAGGTAAACGGTAAGTGACTAAACAAAACAGGAAGTGGAAAACAATACAACCAAAAAACAACATAAATCTCAACATTTCTTTCGGTGCACAACAACATATAAAGACGGAGAAAGTAAACGATAACGTTTATGGTTAAGTGTTAGCAACCCCCGAACAAGCTCTTACGTTGATATTGGATATTTTAATAAATTCAATTTGAAAAGAAAACGGGGAAAAAACAAACAAAACGAATAACGAAATTGAAACCCGAATAGTACTCCAACCAACGAATATTCGGATTTTCGAATATTCGGGTACAGCCCTACTGTACACACATATACACATATACACATATACACACACNACATCATAGCATTTAGCTGAGGCTTTTATCCAAAGTGACTTACAATAAGTGCAATAAAGATTCAAACTAAGGACAACAACAACCGTGCTGAGTAAACATGTCAGCACGGTTGTTGTTGTCCTTAGTTTGAATCTTTATTGCACTTATTGTAAGTCACTTTGGATAAAAGCCTCAGCTAAATGCTATGATGTAATGTAGTCTACGTACTTACATTCGACCGGCAACCTTGAGTTGGAGTTTGGGATTGTTAGATTGTTTGTTTAAATAAAGTTAGAACTATCTCTAAATGTATTTTGAAACATATCTAAATAAAAGATAATATGCTAGGAATGTGTTTTAATTGATTAACTCAGTATATCTAATCGTAGCATGAGTGCACAGAGATGTGATCGCAGCCTCTCTGCAGATTACAGCAGATTACAGACCCTCCAGATTGGGATTATAACGGAACCAAATCTCTGGGTTGCCTCCAGCAGGGCTCTCACACACAAAGAGCATGCACACGGAGAGAGACAACTATACAACCATTTCTCTATATCCTAAAAGAGTCCCTCTGAGGTCCCTCTGAGGTCCCTCTGAGGTCCCTCTCAGGTCCCTCTCAGGTCCCTCTCAGGTCCCTCTGAGGTCCCTCTGAGGTCCCTCTCGGGTCCCTCTCAGGTCCCTCTGAGGTCCCTCTCAGGTTCCTCTCAGGTCCCTCTGAGGTCCCTCTCAGGTCCCTCTCATGTCCTTCTCTCAGTTCCCTCTCAGGTCCCTCTCATGTCCTTCTCTCAGGTCCCTCTCATTTCCTTCTCTCAGGTCCCTCTCTCAGGTCCCTCTCAGGTCCCCCTCTCAGGTCCCCCTCTCAGGTCCCTCTCAGGTCCCTCTGAGGTCCCTCTGAGGTCCCTTCTAGGTCCCTTCTAGGTCCCTCTGAGGTCCCTCTCAGGTCGCTCTAAAGAGTCAGCAGCAGGTGTCGGAGGCAGCATTTTGCACCCAGCGCTCTCCCACCTGTTTGGGAGTAAAGTGGGGAAAAGAGCTCTTTTAGAGACACACCTTTGACACACGTCGGCTTGCTCACGGTCGCTTTGGAGCCCAGACCCAGCTGGCCCCAGTTGTTGCTCCCAAACATGAAGAGTTTCCCATTTTCTGTGGAGAGAAAGGAACATGTTTGAGGTGTTTGAGGTGCATTTTGAGGTTCAGCGTGATAACATACAGAAGTAGGAGGCACACATGTATTTCATGGTTGGCAAAATAACATTTTCCTTGCAGGGAAATCAGAATGAGAAAGACTTTCTGTCTTCATTGATAAATCTGTAAACTCTGACATTTTAAAGGTTTTAAACGTTTCCAAGTCCAGTCAAAGACGTGTGGAATGTGTCTTACCTGTGATCAAGGCGGTGTGCTCGTCCCCGCAGGCGATCTTTAAGGGGACGTCGTTTTTAAGCCAGAATTTACTCGGGACGTTTTCCGCGAATTTGCTCTTTCCAAAAGTAAAAACAGCCCCTGATTCTGACAGAGAAGAAGAGGAATAACATCTAGATTACAGGAAACATTCAATTAATGAATTATCAGTGAATCCCTTTGACGTATGTCTTCAACTAAAGCCGGGGTTACTTTGTATTTAAAGATTATTTATACCAATTCAACAAAGAAACACAGAGGATGCAAACTGCAACATTTTATAACAGCTTCTGCATTTAAGTTATGAACACGTGAATGAATCAATAATTAAAACGCAATGCCATACTATCAATTATTCAGAGATGCATTCTTCGTAATGAGTACTTTTGGTACTTTCAGTAGCTATATTTGAATGGTAATACTTTTATACTTCATTCAAGTTTTAATGCAGGATATTACAGATAATAGTTTACACCTCGGTATTAGTACTGTCGACTTTAACTGTCTCACAGCCACAGGGTACGAGAGGGTGGTGTGTGTGTGTGTGTGTGTGTGTGTGTGTGTGTGTGTGTGTGTGTGTGTGTGTGTGTGTGTGTTACAGTATATTTACCCAACAGGTGTTAATGTAATACAAATATATAATTCCCCTTTAAAACACATTTAAAGTAGCATAACATGGAAATACTCACATAAAAGTACCTCTAAACTGTAGTTAAGTAATGAAGTGTGTACATTATGTAAGGACTAACTGAATAAAGGCAGATCAGAAACTAGCTTCAGTTACAGACCTTAGGTTTCTCACAAGCCAACAGAAAACACATTAAAAAAACAACTTTGTTTTAGTTATGCCAGCTAAGAAAAGGGGAAAGAAAACACTTACAGCCAATAACCCGAAATACTTAACTAGCTGTGAGTAATAACGTGTATAATACATACTTTAATATATGATTAAAGCAGAGAAAGTGAAGCTAAAACTGTTTATTTTCCTTTAGCCAGCGAGCTAAAGCAGAAGCTAAACTGCACTTTAAATGCACGCTAACGGCTAATTCAACACTTTAGATATAATTCACTCAGTTTTAAGGGTAAATACGTTGTTTAGCTATAGTCATTTACCTGGTATCTCGTCCTCGGTCTCTCCTGCCATCTCTGCGGGACTTTAATCCGCTTTTCTCGGCGTCGTGGGCGTGTTGCTGCCCCTCTTGTTTACGACTCTGACAACCCGGAAGTAAACAAAACTTCTCCTAGGTTACGACGCCGACAACGTGACCCTTAAAGGGACAGTACCTTGTTTTGAAGCGAGGTGGAAGAATAATACAACTAGTGTACACGTACAAGTACACAGAGTGGGATGTTGTACTTGAATACAAGTAGAAGTACTCAGATATTGTACTTGAGTAAAAGTAGAAAGTAGAAGTACTCAGATATTGCAGATTGATAGTGCAGATTGGTCCATTTCAGAATAATATATAAGATGTTTTATAATGATTGATCATGAAAGTGTTCTCAAAGCTGGTAAAGGTGCAGCTCGTTTGAATGACTTTGTATACTACAGGGTAGACAGGGGATAGGTTTACTCCAGGTGGAACTAAAATCTGATTTAACACTTGATATATTTCACATCATTCATCCACATCTGTGAAGTAACAAAAGGTATTAGATACATGTAGTGGAGGAAAAGTACACAGTAGCATAACATGGAACTACTCAAGTAAAGTGCAAGTACCTCTAATTTGTACTTCCCAGTACACCCATACCATCATCAGATACTGAGTTATAAATGAAACAACACACAGCTCATTTCCATATAATTTAATTTAAAAAATAAATCTTCTTTTAATATCTCTTCAACCAAAATAACTTCATAAACAATATTGGATTTTTGTAAACAAATAACACTTAAATACACTATAACGCTTTCTAACATCTCTGTATTAAAAAGTAATGGTATAACACAGACTTGGACTATGAAACTAATTCCCTTTATTCTTTACCTTAATATTCCACTTTAAATTCACACATTTAACAGATCAAATAAACAACACATTTAAGGTGTTGTTATTATTGCACCCATTCGTGAAACTCATAGGATTTCTTACACAGTGTTCAGGTATTTATAATTTTTACTACATTAAAAGGTAAATAATTGATTAATGATTGGATTCTATTATATTAAGGGATTTGTAAAAGGTCTTCTGCACAGATTAAGGGGTTTTCAGGGGGAAACGTTGACCAAAACAATATACAAACACCCCTTCATTTACAGTGTACCATAAAAGTGCTGTTATGTTTTATTTAAGTTGCAGCAAAACCCATAAAAACACCCTTTAAATGTTACAATTGATCCAATATATCCCATTAAATACCCGAATACTGAATATGAATCCTGTTACTTCTCTGCACGTAGAGATCTTAATACCAACATTACTAACCCGATGATAACTAAAGTGTGTTCGGTGTTTAAGGGTCGATTCAAGGAGCAGTTTGAAGTGTGATTGAATGAGGTCCTACTTTTTAATAGCTTTCTGTCAGTACTCTTATCTTCTTCTATATATAACTATAAGGAAATACACTGACTGTGGAAAGGTACCTCAAACAACCACACTTTAAAACTTTAAGGGCTTTGTTAAGGGATTGTTGTTTCATAGTTTTAAAGGACGCAGTAAGTCTTTTTTTTGAGCACATTCTGAATCCAAGTGCTCCTATATTTATGATCTCTGAGTTCATCAGGTCACAGCTTCCTCGTCCCAGCATGCACTGTTTTGGAAGAACGTGAAGTCTTTGCGACACAGTGTATGACGTACATTATGACTTGGTGGGACAGAATATCAGAAACCCTCGTGGGCATTGCGTCTGGGTTCGGCTTGTCGATGATTCTGGGCACGATTAGTCCTGCTCTGTCAAATGAGTGCTGGAAAGAAAAGCTTAATTTCAAATGTTCATCACGAGGCCTGAACTGTGCCTGTGTTTATCAAAGGACAAGGCATCATGTTCATGCTGAGCGCCTCTTCATTGGGCTCTGCCTCATTGTACTTTTGGTTGATAAAAGCGTCCTCCATGTGATCTTTCTTTGCCCTTCAGCCCTGATCCAGGCCCAGTGGATGAAAGCTCCCCGGGTCCAACACCTTCCTGCCCAGCCAGTGTAAGAGCAGAGAGTACCAGTGGACCCCCTCATGGCTCTGATGGGAACCAGTGAATCCAGTCCAGCTGTGGAGGATCCTCAGAGGAGAGAAAGCCCAGTGAGCGAGGGCGTGCTGCTCCACCACCGCGTAGCAGGAAACCAACACGCCGTTCACCACCAGCGTCCCCTGCTGGGTGAGCGGAGCAAACGCACCCCTGCTGGTCCTCAAAGTGACCCGTTTGACCCGAGAAAGACGCCCTTCTCCACCCGTTTGCACCACCACACACTGTCCTATTTGAGCGTCACTAGCATACACCGATCTGAGGCTACGTGGCAACATCCCCTCGGTGCAGTTCCCCTCCGACACGAAAACGAGGTGCGCGGCGGTGAGAGAAATGTGGGCGCCGGACTCAGTGTGCAGCGTGTAGAAAAGCGTCCGGGTCACGAGGTCGTGGTCCAGGAAGAGCAGGACTTCGCTGTAGATTAACTCCCCGGTGTCGTTTCCCACCGTTAGGACGCGCTCCCCAGGTCGAAGGTTGCTCAGAGACTTCTGCTCGCCGCTCGATAACATCACCGAGGCCTCGCCGGGGAAACACCCGCCAGATTTAGCCGCCACGGAGTGATCTGAAAGAGACGCCACGAGGTTAGAAAGGAAGTCACAAATGCTCATCATCAAGTAAGCAGCCTTGGGTCCCTTGACAGGCGCTATACAAATGTAATCTATTAGTATTATTATTAAGTAGCATGCAGTTTTAACTTAACATCTCATTTATTGACCTGAATGAGTCCTGACAGGAAGGAGCTCCTCCTAAGGACATCATAAATCTGTATCGACTCCCTTTGGACAAATATTGACTTTCCTTTCTTTCCTGAACACAAAAGAATGTGTCACTGTGTGTGTGTGTGTGTGTGTGTGTGTGTGTGTGTGTGTGTGTGTGTGTGCGTGCGTGCGTGCGTGCGTGCGTGCGTGCGTGCGTGTGTGTTGGCACTTTGGGGATAAATATTTGGGGAAGGTATGAAAAGTTAAGGCCAGGTGATAAGATAAGTGAGGAGGAAGCAGCCGAGGGTTAATCATCTAAAAACACAGTTTGAAAACGTCTCTTCAACATTCACATATCTGCATATATCTGAAACGACTTAAATAGACTAAATATATATATATATATATATATATTGTGAAGTAATGGAAATATGTCTGATCTTGTCGTAACGCTGCAAAGGTCAGAGGTTAACAGAGCTGCTCTCTAGTGGTTGTTTCCCCTCACTTGAAGCATTTTAAATGAAACATTGAGGAGAACCAGGAGAGTCAAAAACATGAACGAATACCAACTTGATTGGTTGCCCTTCTGATCAAGTCAAGGACTGGGACCTCGCTACCCGATCTGGGAGGAGAGAAGAAGAAGAAGTAGGAAACAGGAGAGAGACAGAAAGGAGATCTCAGTTACCACTCGGTGTAAAATGTGTGAGGCGGGTGTTTAAACTGTGACGACTGTGTGACTTTCAGCTCTTCTCATGGCACACACGTGTTACTTTTCATACAAGAAGAAGGAAAGGAGACACTTTCAGCATCGTACACTCTTCTTTTTTATATCAAATCAAAAATGTGACGAAATAACTACTAAGTCCATCAACAAAATAGAGCTTTACATGTTAATTGTTGGCTTTAAAACACTACACTACCCATGAGCCTCAGCTGTACATGCAAATGAGAAGAAGCTAAGTACGAAAAATGTAGATTTGGATCTTAAGCAACACATTTACCAGAGTTTTAAACTGTGATTGCACTGAAATGCATCCTGGGTATCTTTATTATTTCATGCACCTGCCGAAATGATGCCGTGGGTTAAAACAAATCTCATTCTTTCACAGCCACACTCACTATAGCTCATCTGCAGGCTGTGCTTTTAGTTCTGACATGCCTTATGTTCGCTAATGAACCGATTCCCATTCTTAAAATCAATCACTTGAGTCATTTTTAAGCTTCATTGTCCTCAAGTGCAAATAAAGTGCTGCAAAAAAAGCCATAAAAAGCTCCCAGAAGCAAATGTTTAGATGTGATGTGGAACGTGGGTGAGTGGCAGGTGAGACAGAGAGAAAGAATGAAATATAAGAGCTGGATATAGTTAGGGTGCGAGCAAGAGGAAAGTTCAGGATGGAAGAGGGAAACAGGAAAGGTTAGGAAAAAGGAAAAACGCAGCGTGGCAGTTTTTAAATCGATTGCTCTGTTCTGCATTTGGGTTTGAGAGTCCCTGTGCAACACAAGTCCTCTGATCATACTATTGTCAGGCTGCAGGAAACATGTTGAGATGGCAATTTGTTTGATTAGTAATGCAGGATGCAATATGCACCGGCAAAGAACCTGTGCCTACAACATTTCATAGGTAGTTTAAGAGTCCTGAGACATTAAAGTCAAGTCTGAAGGCTATGAACTTTACAGGGAAATACATGTTAGAGAATTGCTTCTAAAGGACTTAAACAATCGTTTGAATCCATTTCCCCGAAGTCTATAATCAAAAAAGAAAAGCCCAGTTAAAGCATCACTAAGAGACTTTCATACAAAGACCCCCCTCCCCTGACTTGACGCTGCAGTGGATGTGGGATTTGGACTCGTAGTTTAAATAAGTTTGCACATATTGCATGTTCAGTAAGGCCCAGTAAACTTGTCTCTGAACGTGAATAAAATACTTCTTATCTTATCCTATGATAGATCAAACCCTCCTCCAGTGTTTGGATGCCTCGCCCCCCTCACCTGACTTGACGCTGCAGTGGATGTGGGCTTTGGACTCGTAGTAGACCCAGTCGAAGCCGGCCTCCACGGCCAGGCGGGCCAACATGGCGTACTTGTTTCTGTCCCGGTCGGAGGTGGTGATGTCCACGGATCTCCCCTCGTAGTGAAGGGATTCCTCCGAGTGATGGCCGTCCTCGTCCCAGCCCTCCGTGACCCTCAGACGGACCCCATGCCACAGGTTCATCACCGAGATGGCCAGAGAGTTCAGCTTGTCTTTGCAGCGCTGCGGGAAAACACACACAATTATTAATGAGACTTGTTGGAGTCAAAAGAAAACACATTAAAAACCAACTTTGTTTTAGTTATGCAAGCTAAGAAAAGGGGAAAGAAAACACTTACGGCCGATAACCTGAAATACTTCACTAGTTGTGAGTAATAACGTGTATAATACATACATACATATATCATTAAAGCAGGGAAAGTTAAGCTAAAACTGTACATTTTCCGTTAGCCAGAAGCTGAACTGCACGTTAAATGGCTCATTCAACACTTAAATGTCCTTGAATTGAAACACAAGGCCAATTCGGTTACAAAAATGCAATTAAAAACTGCAAATGAAAAAATAAAATGACTTTGAAACAATGTGTTATTGATGAGATTTCTGAACCCTCTGTATGGACACCGTGTTGATGTTCTCTTAAATACAGATATGAAACGTCACCCCTCTCCCCTCTTGTCTGTGGCTGCAGCCGTCCCACAATGCACCTCTGCTGTCCCTGCTGATGTTTGCTCTCTGCGGTGAGGTTATAGATGGGGGGGGGGGTCCCTCTAAACCTGGAGTCTGGTCAGGGTGAGCAAACAGGAGGTGAGAGGGCCGATTGAGGGACTCATTTAACTCCCCTCTGCTCCCCCAATAAATCCTGCAGGCAGTTAGCGTGACCCCCCCCCAGAGGCATTGTCCGGGGGTTTATCCAGCCGAATGTCTCAGGGGACACTTTAGAGACACATTAGAGGGGACATTTGGTCAGATTGGCCTAAAGAGGCTGCTGTTTCCCTCGAAAACTATAAAATGTCAATAATGTTGTGCTTTTTGGTTGAAATAAGGTCTGTGGTTAACACAAGCTGAAGAGATCAACAACTATAAAATGCTTAGCGGTGGTGACATGAAGTCATGTGACCGTGCTGTAGTTCCTTTATAGCCCAACATTAGCCACCTTTAGCTTAGCGGTGGTGACGTGAAGTCATGTGACCATGCTGTAGTTCCTTTATAGCCCAACATTTTGTCTAAAATAAATAGATATTAAGATCTGAAATTCAGGACAAAAAAAGAGCTGTGGTGCTAATTGTTTTAAAGAGGAAGCAAAACATTTCTAAATGTGTGAAATGTAACTTTACGTCTCAGCTGACCTCGTTTCAAAATGGCATTAATTATTCCTGAGAGAGCTCTTTTTAAGTCCATAAATGAACCAATTAAGCTGAAATCCTGAGGGAAGTTCTACAGGTTTTATCAATAGAGGTGTTTTTCCCTTGACTGACAGTTTAAATGAAATACATCAACATTAAAGTGGTATTAAATCAAGTTTGCATGACTATAGGAGTCTTGTGTTTCGCCGCAGTCCCTGAAGGCGTCTGGCTTCATGAATCCGAGCCTATTTCAGAGTGGGATTAAACCCCATAAATGTCCTTTTCCACGGCGGCTGTGATAAGAATAGATGCCTTTTCACGGTGTCCACTGTGGATTTTAACGTCCTATGTTTTCTCTGCGGTCACAGCAACGAGCTGGACTTCATAAATCAGACGATACACGTTGTTGGTTTTCCTTTCAAGGTATCCAGATGGACGGGGGGTGCAGCGCACTAAACCGCTGGCTGCACAAACATATGCACACCTTCACGCTGCAAGAAATGTCATTTAGTCTCATGTGGCGCCTCCAAGTCGTGTTTGCATGAGAGAGGGGACACAATCTGCAGAAAGAAAGACCCTTCTTTATATTCCGATGCATTAAGGAGGTTGCACTGGATGGTTTTAAATCAAACACCACGGGTTGCTTAAAGGCTGCACTCTTTGGAGCAAGCAAGAATAAAAGAAAATAAAGCAAATTAAGGTGGAACAAATACTCTGGGCTTCAGTTAAATAAATGTTCTAATTTGTGTTCATCTCTTTAATGCAACATTTAACAATGTGTCTTTCTGTAGGTTATTTCTTGATTGATAAAGAAATCTCAAGCAACTCAGTTATGAAATAAAACCTTCTAAATAATACATTAGTTCAATGTAAGTGAATCCTCACATTTCGCACGACAGATATATACAACAATTATTATACAGTTACCAATGTCTCATTGACTTGTCTTTTTCATTTTGAATGCAAACAAATAATTTGTAAAGTAATTTAAGCTCTCCAAACTAGGAAATGTACAGATAGCAGAATATGAAAATACTCGAGTCAAGTAGAAGTATACTCTAAGTGCAGCACATGAGTAAAAGTACTTTTGATCACTGTAAATACGTGAATTAAAGCTCCACTTCTTGCATGTCTCGCCCATGAACCTGATAAAAAGTACTGACACTTCTTGCAGCGTGCCCTCGCCCCTGAACAGTCGCGTCTGTATGCAGCGCCCAGGAAAAAGCGAATAAAAAATAAAGAGGCAAAAAAAAAAGCCGTATAATTAAGGCTTCAACACAAGTGAAGTGGGCTATTTCTGCACATGTGCGCTGCGAAAACAAACAAAAAAGTAACACGGAATAGTAAAAGACAAACAGGAGGCTGTCTCTGCGGCTTGGAGCCGTAAATTGTGTGCAGGTCTGCGGCGCTAGGAGAAGTGTTTGGAGACGCTTCACATCTCTTTAAGGTCTTTAAAATCCCTGCTTAACTAAGAGTAAGAAAAGCATGTGATATATGATTTAACAGAGTTCAGGTTGGCTGATGTGATTTCGTCTCTCCTGTGGTTGACATTTTAGGAGACTTTTTCCAGGGAAAGTACCAGCATCTTTGATTCAAATAAATCCATTTGGGTCAGTTTTGGGGGGTGATTTAAACATTTAAATCTGGCGTTTTTGCACCAAAGAAAAAGAAGCAAACTAATCCCTATGTGCTGTTTCGTTCGCCCCCCCCCCCGGATTTTAAAACGTTATCTTGTACTTCCTCACTTTAAACTCATCTGAAGTGAGTTTTTTAGGCTGATATTTCTTGCAGTGCACGCACTGAGGTGACAGCTCGGGGCAGCAGTGCACGCTCTCCCTCCCCACGTGGGTCTGTGGACATAAGGCTGCCGCGCGGAGAGGAAGCCCGCGGTCACCAGAGCCAGATATAAATACTTTATTCCCGGGGAAATTGGGAGTCAAATAAATTCCACCAGGGGCCACATCAATGACGGAGTCGTAAAAGATTCTGACAGTCCAAACTCGGGCTAAAAACGGTAAGCATCAGTGCAGCTTGACCAAACCAAATACGACTTTTGGCAGTTTTTTCACCCAAAGACATGATGCAAAACAGAGGGCATAGTGTTTTAATTAAGAGAGACCGCTTTTCCATACATTTTTAGACGGGGTTACCCTCTTTTACGCACGACCTGCCCACAGTGGAGCTATGAAAGTCCCTCAGATCCAAAGTGGTCTCCTTCACAGCCCAGCAAACAGCAGCAGGGTTTCAGCCATCGACCAGAGAGTTGTGCAAATCAGTTTCCCAACCATGACATCCACCATACTTATTTCCACATATAGTTGGAATAATCTTCCACTGAGGCTGCTGTGATTTAAACCGTGTTGTTAAATGGATGTGTTGGTTTTAAAAAGCATTAAACAAAAGCAAATATAGATTTAAAAAAGGCCAAAGGTAAGTTAAACACCATTTTGTATGTTAAGACAGATTCTCCTCACATTATTGGCGAGCCTTGAGTCAACATGACATGCGGAAAAAGATAACAGTGTCCACGCGTTTAGAGACTGGCCAAAGTGCAGTGCGCAGAAACACCTCCTTGAAGAGCCGATTTCATGGGAAATGGACCTATACAGTGTCCGGGAGGGTTACCTGTGTCATCATGCGGTCTGCACCTGTGTTCTCCTCATCCTTGAAGATGATGTCCGGGTTGTAATTGGGGGTGAGCTCCTTGAAGCGCTCGGAGTTACGGGTGATTTTCCCCTCGTACCTCCCGCTGGCTCCTAGCGTCTTCTCCGCCACGTTGGGGCTGAACTGCTTGTAGGAAAGAGGGGCAAGTTTCCGTGGAGACCGTCTCTTACCGTGACCTCTGCCCGGTCCGCAGCCCTCGCTCCCCGGCGCGAGGAGGAAGGCGCACCCCGCGAGGCACGTCACGAGCCTGGGGAGCAGCATCGCCCCCCCTTTAAATCCCCTTTATAATATAAGCGGAGGCACCAGAGCAGGACTCACTCCTGCGCCCCACAAAGTGTCCATTCCCGGCGCGTAAAAGTGCCCAGTGCGCCGCTGGAGACCTGGACCGGTGCTGTCCCGAGTGCACGCGGAGGCAGGGGCATAAATAGGGCGAGGTGAGTTTATATTGGCACGCGGCTTCAAAGCTCCAGAGGCTGTGAGAAGAAGCTGCAGACAGACACGGAGGCGCGCGGTGCGTAATGGGCACGCGGTCAGAGGGTGTCCCGAAGCGCGCGCGGAGACCGACTACAGGACAGATGAGGTGCCGCGAGACAAGAAGGAGACCGCGCCCTCGCGCCCTCCTCCCCCCCCCCCTCTCTCTCCACAGGCTGTTTACTGTCACCGAGACACGAGACTTTGGACCATCGTCTTCTCGTTAAAACGTTCTCACCCCTCCTCGGCGAGAGTTCAGACTCCTCAGAGAATGACATAAGAGTCAGAGCTGAGGGAATAAGGAACAGTTTCCTCATTATATTTCAATCACCTGCCACTTGTAGTACAATAAGTGCAGTCAACAATGAGGACCATGCTTACATCCTGCAGCCAAACATGTTCAGTATTCAGATATTACACGTTTTTTTAAAGTTATTTTACACTTGTATTGGCCAAGGTGCAGACATCATGCTCTCCTAAATACTTCACTGATTATTTACTGTTGAGTTCACTTCACCTGAACGTGCCCTTCAATCTAAAGGACTCTTCACATCAACTACATTTCCCAGAATCCCCAGGGGTACAATAGATAGTTTACAATTGATCATCGAATTGATTAATTGCAGCTGTGCTTCTGCTTTAGGCACTAATTGTATATCTTAGAAACAGAAGTAATCAACATTTCCTTTCTCTAAATAATGCATCTTTCGGAGCCAAGAATTGGAGGTTTTATCGCAGCATCTTTCCAGGAAACTATAAGGAAAACAATTATTTATACCTTCTGCATTTCCCAGTTAACGTGACGGCATTTTTCGGCAGTGTTTGTCAGAAACTCTTGAAGTCCTGCGGGCAAACGGAGCCTTTCCATCTGAAACTTCAAGAGCATTCCCCAGATGCTGCAACACCTTGAGTCAACATCTCACCACGCTCACAAAAGCTGCATCGACCGCGCTCTGCTCATTATTCTCCGTCTGAATCACCTCAGAGTCACTCTCACAAACACAGGATTCCTCTTGATCAAATTTAAAAGAAATCCCGTTAAAAAAAGTCTTCTGACGCTTCAACCATTTTCTGTATTCATATTTAATAACAAACTGCAATCATTCTAATATTTACATACATATTCAACAGGTTGACTTCTTTAAAACCCAAAATCTATCAATAAAAATGATTTATTACTAAAAAAAAAAAATACATAAAAAGCCTAAAAATAAGAAACATCTTTTAAGATTTTTCCTTTTTGTCATCAAATAGATAAAAACACTTTTTCCTTATTAAAAAGCATCGTAATTGTTGTGTGTGTGTCTACTGCTCATCTGAAAAGTCCCACTTTCTTCTTCTTTGGTTTGGCAGACGGTCGCTCTGCAGGGGCGGACGGTAGAGACTGTGGAGGACACAAAAAAGTGGACGTTTTTTTGGATTTTTTGGATTAGTTTTAAGTCGTTTTCCTGCATTCTCCTCTCTGAATAATCCTCCTACTTTTCTACTTTATTGGTAGTGGAAATACTTGATATTCGTTCACGTTTACCGTGTCTTTGAACGTCTTTTGCACCGAAGCAAACTCCTCGTATGGAAACCTACTTTGTAATAAAACCAAGTCTGATTATTTTCTGGACCTCTCCTGTCACACTGTTGGAGGTAGAAGCCGTTAAGTGTGTCTCTGGAGTCATGGAATCATGTAATCAAGGAGTTCATTGATAAACAGAGGAATTTGTTAATCTCACCTTTTTTTCTGTGGCTCTGTCGGCCATTTTGGCTCCAGCTGCTTCCAGTTGCACTTCCTCGGCCGCTCCACTGTCCACCTTAGAACCTCCTGCAGAGACACAAAGACACTCAGGAACAATTCACCACCTTGTTCATTTCTTCTTGTATTCGTGTCTGCTTGTGCTGCAATATGTGTTTTAATGATATCTACTTTAGATTCCTGTAGAGGAGCAACGATCTAGAAATTCAATAGAATGCTCAGCTATGTGGAAATAGTCGTCTCAGGTGTGGACAAAAACCCCACCATGTACCTCTTTGAATCCTACTTGATCTGGATATTAAATGCTAAACAGGGCCTGATAAGATGGAGACTAACAAGTGGATGTTTCTTTGAACTTTGTAGGTTAGTTCCCGACCTAAAGAGGAGGTGATGTCCGGTTCGTCAGCAGGATGTTTTTATAGTCAATAGAGACAAGACCTTTCCTCTTGTGTGTTTCTACTTGGTTTGATCTCAGAATATATAGTTTGAATTGTCCTTAAGGAAAAAAGGTCAGCAGTGTAAGGGTTTGCTGCTTTCCTTCCGTCAGTGGGATTATATCAGAGACTCCACTCTGGATATTTTTACTGTTCTGACATTTTACAGGCTAACTCTTATTTGATCTGGATATGAAATGCTAAACAGGGCCTGATAATATCGTTAAGATGGAGACTAAGAAGTGGATGTTTCTTTGTAGGTTAGTTCCAGACCTAAAGAGGAGGTGATGTCCGGTTCGTCGGCCGGCGTCTCCTCCACAGACGGCTCCTTGGACAGTTTGCGTTTCCGGGAGTTTTCGTGACTCACGACGGCGGCGTAAAGCTGCTGGAGGCCGGCGTCAAACTGCAGAGAATCAGACTGACCTGAGACCAGCAGAGGGAGAGCCTGAGGGGGGAGGAACAGGAAGACGAGCGACCGTTACCTTCTAACTAAAAGATGTGTGTGTTTGGATTCATTAAAATAGGATCAGTCCCAACAAGGTCCTGTGTTTTTCTGTCTGCCTGTTCTCACACCGTATCATTCCCATCTTCAGATGTTTCTCTATCTCCGTCTGCAGCTTTGAAGCCAATACATCCATAAAGATTCAAAAGGAATAATCGGCTGCATGAAAGTGTCCTTTTGACGCGGCCCGGGGCTTTGGGTGCGTTTGTTTTACGGCCCTGCAGTGGGAGTCACATGCTGGAGGTGTGACGGCTCGCGATAAGCCTCTAATCAAAGCTGCGGTATTGGCACAGCTGACCACAGGTGGAGCAGGAACAACTGACACACACACACACACACACACACACACACACACACACACACACACACACACACACACACACACACACACACACACACACACTCTGAACCACAAGCCTGACAGATAAGGGTGCGTGTAAACTCCTGCGACATTATGCAAACGCACGTAGAAAAACACGCGCTGTTCACTGGACCCGGCTTTCTCCCCCGACGCAGAGAGGACAAACTCTCCAAATTAGCTCCTCAAATATTGACCGGCAGAAATTGGTGGTCTCGCGCTCGCTGTCAGGAGAGAGGGGCTCCTAAACACACTTTGGTCAGGTTTCGAGGTTTTGCATTGATTTATTTTTGTTATTTGTTTGTTTAAATATCGTAAAAATAAATGTAAATGCTCTGGTGAGGCTTAGTTCTGCTTTGGGCACAGAGAAAGCAATGTGCTGCAGAAAGCCCACCTTAGTCTCTCCTGTTCTCAGCCCCCTCCTCGCCCCCTCCCCCCCCCGCTGCCAACTCACTTTGCATTATTTGATCTGAAAGGTGGACTTTAATTGGTTGGATCCGGCTCTTCTTTCAGCGCTTAAAGACCCTTCCTTTCTATGGAATCTGCCACGGGAAGAAACAAACGCATGATCACAAATGGAAGTGATAAGATAGAAGGCACTTTTTAAAACAGGAGTTGCTCTGAAACAACATGTGTTTTCTGCATTATTGCTGCGAGTTTCCCTTCTTTGTCCCGAAAGTTGCAGAAAACAGACCCGCTTCACCAAAACAACAACTTTTTGCATCATCTGAACGAACTCTCACACAGACGGCGGGAAACTAGGACACCAAAGTAAAATGTATAAGATACCATGTTGTAAACTATGAGATGATAAGAGCCTGAAGGAAAGAGAAACAGGAAGCTGAGCGCGGGGTAAATAAAATAAAAAATACGAGACACGTTAGAAACACAGAAATTAATGTCATTTAGGGAAATCAAATGTTGACTATCGAATAGAAAAGTGATTACAGAAGGTCAATAACCTTCAAGGTTCTCTCTGGAAAGTTCCTCCCTGTTGTTGAAACTGAGCAAAGTCTAACGAGGAGGAGGAAGAGGAGGAAGAGGAGGAGGAGGAGGAGGAGGAGGAGGAACTCCCCTCAGAGGAGCATCATGTGTGGGGAAGGTGATGAGAGGAAGTCGGTGTTCCTCTATTCTTAGCAGGTAAACACCTTCTGTTTTTAAGACGGGGGTCTTGGTGCCGAGGAGTCTCTCTCTCTCCCCCTCCCTCTCCCTCTCCCTCGGCTTCCCGTCCTCCAAACTGAACGTCGAGGTCACACAGCTTCAGTTGCTCTAATAAACGTCCCCATTATGAATGCAGATATTCCACCACAGCAGGATATCTGCATTTATTATAATTATTATTGTAGGGTTATAAATGCATTATCTCACTTAAAGAGGCCCCCTTGTGCTTTTTGGGGGTTATCCCTTTCCCTCTCATGTGTTTCATGAATGGCTGGAACACAGTGACATCACTATGTAACACTCGCCCAACACATTGTGTGTGATAGGCTAAGGGGGCGGGACATCTATAAGCAGTTGACCAATAAATGTTTTTTATTGATTTTAATGTTTCTTTTCTTTTTTTATTGTAGTTTATTTTTTGCTATTTACTTTTGTTTAATTCTATTTATTTTGTAATTTTTGTATTGTATTATTTTTAATGTTATACTAAGCTGGAGCACCTATTAAAAAAAAATCAAAATTCTATAGGTTTTCCTGCATGTTAATGATGAATGGCCGGAACACAGTGACATCACTACGGAACTCTTGCTCTCCTATTGGCTAGCCCTCCAA